GAACCAGCGAGGGAGAGTGACAATAAACAAGTACACTGATAAATCAATGCATAATTCCAAATTGCGATATATGACCCAAAGGAAGCAAATATGCAATAACAATGGAGAGGGTCATTTTTATAAATTATCAAGGAACATGTATCAGAGGAGATTACAATAAAGCTAAGATCTGAATGAACTAGTGCCAATCACAGAAAGAGCTAGAGGACCAAAATCTTAAAGAAGACTAGCATAGCCAAAGGGTCTTAAGGAAAAACTCAAAGTATGTTGGAGGAACTGATCGACGACCAAAGGAACTAGAGAGCAGTTAACTAGGGTAAGAGAGTCACCAGATAAAGTTGAATTCAATTAATACATTAATTCACAACCATCCAGGTTCCACTCCCAATATGCAACTGGTGTGATACATATTTCCTCAGTAACAGCCTCTGAATTGGTAAATCCATTGTTCATTTCAGATTTCAATCAAGTTGATTCCTCTGCAGAATTTGACAATAATGCTTATATCCCATTTTCCTGGATCTAATTCTGCCTTTGGCGTGCCATTCTTTTCTAGTGGTAAGAATGTGGGCTCTGTAGTTATATTGCAGTAATTCATATCGTGGTCCTGCCACCTGTAAGTTGTACAACCTTGGGCATGTTAGCTAATTTCTCTAACCCTTGGTTTTCTCAATGATAAAACGAAAAACAAGACCTGAACTGAACTAGAACTTCAAAGAGTTATTGTAAGGATTCGTGAACCTGTTTAACACAGTACCTGAGACATAGCAAATGCTCAAAAAATGTTAGCAATTACGGTTATTCCCTTCCTTTGTGTTTCACAAGTCTCTTTTGATGGGTTCTTTTCCCACCCACATCTGAAAGAGCATCCTTGTCTCCTTACTTCTTATTCTATGTTCTCCCAGTATGATCTCATCCATTCCTATGACTTCAACATGTTGAAAATGCCCAAAACTATTTCATGCAATGCCAGACCGCACTCCTGAGCTTCAGGAACCTTCTACACTTAGCGCCTTTATATGCATCCTGTCTGGAAGGCTCCTACCATTCTCCAGGGCAATTTAACGCTGCAAGGTCTCAGAGCAAACTGGATTGTCCCAGGCTGAACTTCCACAGAACCTTATTCACTCCTTCACCATCACAATACTCTTCTATCACATTATCACTCTGAATTGCAACAGTCTTTTTATCTATCTGTACCTGGTAAAAACAGCAGCGAACGCTCTTGACTGCTCACCCCAAGACAAGGCCACCACAAGGAAGATGGTACAGCGAGGTCGCACAGCTGGCTGATAGAATTCCAACTTCGGGAGTGTGCGTCCAGACAGAGTCCAGGCTCTTAACCACGAGACTGCAATTTCAACCTCAAAAAAAATTGCTCGCTGATCACTAATTATTA